TATTATGACAATTGACATATATTAAGTGAAAGAAATGACAGAAGTATTATAATAAAACATTTTGAAAGAAAAAAGTTACACAATTAGGCCAATAGCTATAAAATAGCTTTAGGCCTGGCTTATAACACCAAGAGTTCTGATCAGACTGTAGTGAAACATTGAACATTTCATTAACAAAAAATATTGGCACCAGCCACAACATATTTTGGTTGTCACTTACAAGGAATATTATATTTAAACAAGTATGCACTGCAATTCTAACACACTAGGTGTTCATACACTGCAGTTAACCCCTGAAGCTTTAAGCTACCAGGAATTCCCATATTTTCTAGGCACAAAATTTACTTTGTGCATTATTGGAATCACATTTCCAGTTTTCAAATCTCCCCCCCAACACACACACACATGCAGTACATTATATGTGGCAGAGAGCACTCCAGCTTCCCCTGTTTGACTAACAGCGCGTTCCTGATTACCTCCACAGTTTTATGCCAATCTTGGAGCTTCTGCTTTAGCTCTCATCTCCTAGAAATAAAATAAAGCATTCTGAGACCCTATTCCAGTAATAATTTTTTATGCATAGGAAAATAAAGCATTTCATATAAGCATGTCTGAAAATCCAAGAGGCATTTTGACCAAATACTCCCTGAATCTCAGCTACTATTACTTTAAAATCAAAATGAAATTTAACATATACCATTCACAAATTCTTATCTGCAATTTGTCTTCTTCACCTGGAAATTCATGATTCCCAGGCTTCTCCTCTGAATGGATGAAGCTAGCAAAGAAACGGACAATCCCACATTAGCTGACAATAGATTAAGGTAGTTTAGATAGAAATTTTGACACACTTAGATGAATTAATTCTTTATAAGGATACACTTGTGCTATATAGATGAAGAGTTAGAATGGTAAAATTATCAGACAGCAAACATACTGGTGTCTTAATGTAAGTCACGGTGAAACGTGCCATGTAAGACTGCTAGAATCAGCAACACTACAAGCTTTAAAGATACTTTCATCAAATGTGGAGAGAATTGGGATTTGAATCTGATATCCCTTCCAGCAGAAAAATATTCCTGTGGCATTAAGTCTCTGAATAACAAGAACCAAATCAAGTAATTCTAGTTTTCCCCTTCTTTTACAGACTGAAAAGAAGCCAAGCTCTGCCCCAACCCACCCCGCCTATCCCCGCATGGGACACTCCCTTTCAAGGTATATCCAAAACCTCCCCAGCAGGTTTGGGCAAGCTGCAATTCAGATATTTATCAAGAAACTACTTCGCTAAGAGAACAAAATACCAGACCAACATTGAGAATACCCTACTTAGGCATCACGAAAATTGCACACTATAATATGCTGTTAACTGCCAAATTCAGGCTATTATAGCTGTTCCGAAATTGAAAATTCATTTACAATAATATAAACTAGATCCATGTGTGCACATGTGTGCGTATGTGTGTGTATATACGTGTTTGTGTATAATTTTCATGCAATGATCTTAAAGCTTTGGAGACAAGGGTTATTAGCCTAATTCCAAGGCTTGTCCACATAGCAATATTGACATGCACCAACTCTGCTAAAGGGTAGGAAAATGAAAAAGACCATGGCACAGATTTTTAAACAACTTTAGGTTTAATTACATATGCACCTGTAGATGTTCTAGCATAAACACAATTGTAAAAATCTACAACCTATTTTAGGGTATTTTTCCACCTCCCAACCCTTAGAAGCTGTACAGTTATATAAAAAATGTGACTCTCAAGCAAAATAAACTTTTTTTTTTTTTTTTTGCAACATACAAAATAAGTTAAATGATTCAGAAGGTCTTGAGCCATTAAGTATCCCAATGACTGTTCTGGCCATCCATAAGCATGACATGCAGCTCCTGGTCTATGACCAGAACTCAATAAATACAGGTCAAACAAAACCCCAAACACTTAAATTAGATTTCTTTAGAAAGTGATGAAAGTCAAGAAAATATATAATTAAGGTTAACAATTCCATTCTTAACTTACATCATCCAGTGGCAAAATGAACAAGGCAGGTCACTCAGTACTTAGTGCATTTACTAGCTTGTACCGGTTTGGCAAAAAACAAAAATGTAGTTCCTTTAAATGTTTTTTCTCATTCAAAATGTCTAAGGAGATTAATTAATAAATTTCTATTCATCTAATAATTTGTTATGCCCTCTCATATAACTTATGCATAGGATAGATATATCTTAAAAGTTACTAAAATAAAAATAACATTTTCATTAACTGAAATCACCATGTGCCAGAACTGGGTTTGCAGCATTTCCCAGAATGAAATTGTAAAAATATAAAATGAAAAAAAAGTTGAGCTCACATGACCAAAATGAGGGGAAAAATATCCACTACTGGGGTCCTATTCTAATCAATTTCTGAGAGGGTTTATACATACAAAAGAAGCATTGAGTGTATAATCTAAAGTGGTTCTATACCAAGCACACTACAGTTTGGCTTATGAAGACTGCTTGTTTGCTAGGGAATGACTCGTCTTCGATGTACATTACATAATTACTTAGCAATTCTTGGCACTGAGAAAATGATAAAGTGAAATATCTTGAAAACAAATTATTACATGTACACATAACACAATAACCCAGTTTAATACACTGATAGCAAAGGGCCTTGTCTTTTCGGATTGGTATAAAAATAAGACAATCAGCAGCTGAACTGCCACTTGCAAAGTAGGTTTACAGGTACACACTGGGAATGGTGGATAAAATAGGAATGGATTTTATTCTAAGAAGGAATAATAATATTAAGCAGGGACTAGGTAGATTATAGCAGATATGCAGTCTTGGCATTCTTACTTCTTAGAGAATCAGGAATATTTTCTTAGAGTATCAAACCAAGAAGAGGATCTTCACTATTTTCTTCTAGACTTTCTGTAATTAAATGTTCATAATTTCACATCAGTCACAATTATTTGTCTTATGTCTTTTTGCGATGTCAGTGATTTCAAAGGATTCATTTTTAATTGCTAACATCTAAAGTATGTATACACATATTAATTTATATATATACATACATATATGTATGTTCTATTTTTTAAAAAAGATCTGGGCCTGTGAATACTTGTTCTATAGCTGTGAAGCAATCCCGGACCTGTTTCACTGTGTAGGTGAAGGGCAGAGTTCACAACTTTTTCTCTGAATATTCAACTAACAGATTCCTTGGGTCCCTTGTCATATGGTAGAACTAGCGCATGGTTAACATTGCTCATCCCCACAAACATAAGCTAAAAAGGCATTCTTTGTGACAAAGTAAATTCCATCAATCCCATTTAAAAACTCCCAACATTTTCCCACCATTTTACCTTGAAGCAAGTACATGCCTACATTTTTCTTAGTATATATACTTTGCTCAGATGCATACTATGGTATGGGCTCTATCAACCAAAATGTGAAAACTGGAGTTTAGAATATCCTTTCAAAATTTGTTTAAAAATGTTTTTTTCAACAACTTCTTTAGCATTCTAAGTCCTTGGTTCTTTGGCAGGTCATATTAAAAAAAAAAAAAAAAGACTACCAGTAGACATGAATTTATTCTAAACAAAACTCCTCTTTATTATCTGCATATGCAACCTTGACCAACTGGAAAAACAAATGTCAAGGAAACCCAACCTTAATGTTCTCTAGTAAACTCTTGAAAAGCTCTCTGCCATCATTCTCTAATAATGTGCCAACAATGAAAAATGTTTTACACTACACCCTATTTCATCGACACAAATCTACAAAACCGAAATGTGTATTTTCAGTCTGAGTTCCTTTCATATATTTTAATTCAAAGCTTCTGCTTTGTGAAAATTTGGCTACTTTTCAAACTTTCACAGAAATGCGAACTAAATATTCTGCACACTAAACTACATCTCCCCTTAATACACGTGCTAGACTGTGCAGTATGACACTGGGAGTCCACCTGTATTTCAAAAAAGGTTCGAAGTATTAAAGGACTCTATTAAATGGCAGCTACGGATGGATCTAGATCCACGGTTAGTACTCTGAGGATCCAAGATGTTCGAAATTCTAGATGAACTGCTACTTTCCTATACTCTGTCCAGTTCGTAATGACTGAATCAAATCTTTGGATACAGGACATTTACTTTCTTCTACATTTTTTTTTTAACTTCTTCAAAGCATGTTCACTTAGTATTTCAGTGAGCTCAAGACTCTATGAGGGAATAAATCTAATCATCAAGCAGCAGAATTGGTTTTGAACTGTCCAACATTTAATTGCCCATAATTAACCTGTCTGCATAATAATTTGTAAGTCCAGCTGCTTGGATTGCACTCTTTGTAGATGAAACAGTAAATTGGCTTAATCAGAATATAAGGTTAGAAGGCAGACATTCACTACCAAGTTCACAAACACTTAATTCAAGTTCAGTAAATTAACAGGCAGCAAAAGTGGTATCATAACCCATGTCAGTGGGACCTATGCTAACTTGTACTCAGTCTTTACTCTGGTAACAACGACCTTTAGCTCTCTGTAAGAGAAAGGTAAAAAGAATACCTTTATTTCACATTAGGCATCCTGTAAAATAAATAATCTACCCCACTGGATACTTCTTATCACTTGCTTAACTATGGAGTGGTGGAAGCAGGAGCTGGTGTGTCCAGAGGTAGAGACCGCGTATCTGGGAATTTCTACACGGTAGTGGCTTTACCCAGCTGCAGGACTAAAATGGTAGAGGAAGAATGGGGGCACGGGAGGCCCCTCCACACATTCTAACCACTTACCTTGCACTAGTAGGAATCCTTCTATTGCCTGCCTGTTGGATAGTTAAAAAGGATAACTAACATTCCCACCCAACTTTCAAACAAATGAACAAACCTGGCTAGAAAGGAGGCTTGGTATGTGAATATGGCTCCTTACGTAACCCTGCTCTGAGAGTGATTGTGAGCCCTTCCCTCCCTTCCAGTGGAACACTGTCTCATAATAAAAAATCACAACTTGCTTGGAACCACATGCTATTGGTGCATCCTATTTTTAGGCTGCTTTCATTATTTTATTTTTTTATACAGATACATATACATTGCTAGAATCAAAGCAAAAATATTAATGGGCAGGTACTACACAACTAAAGTGAAACAAAACAAAACAAACAAAAGAACCAACAAATGAAAACAACAGCTATAAACTTTCAAGGCCAAAAGATAAGATTTAAGGGCAACACCTGTTGAAAGGAAAAGAAGGAGTATAAAGTTTCTAGAGAGGTATTTATAATGCAAGTCTAATGCCAGCTTTTTAATAATAAAAAAGAGAAGTGCTTTACTATACACTGACTAGCACATATAATGCTTAATTTGGAAAGAAAAATTAACAAAGTTCCTTGGGCCAGCAGCAGATATGGTGTGTCCATTGCCGGCAACAGACACAACACCGGAACAGAAAAACCCAAATCCCAGGGCAAAAGTATTCACAGAAGTAATGGCTGAAGGCTTCAGAATTTGACAGGCAAGGTTTAATCACAAGTGCTACACTTTGTACAATGTTATTTATGGCTCTGCCTGAAATTTTACAGCTGTAACAGTAACTAAATAAGACAAAGTTCATATTTTAGTGTCAATTACATGTTAGATATTTAGTTATAAACCCCTTTTTCTTGAAACAAAGGGCTTATCTTTCATTAAAGTGTTGAGATGTTTGAAATGGATGTCATGCCCATTAAGTATATTGGCGGTTCTCAATCAACTCTAGGTTGGTCGTGTGACTATTAATGAATTTTAATAGAAGTCTAATGGCCAAAGGCCAAAACTACATTCAAACCCTGCTAATATATCCAGGCAGATAGGAAATTCCAACGCACACACATACACACACATATACACACACATACATGCTAAAACTCAAACTAAAAACCTCCCAAAGGAACTGCTTTGTTTGTAGACTTCAATTTGAAGTAGATACTAAGGGCAAGAATAGACCAGTTAAAATTCACCTGAAAATCCTTTCCCCGTCATCAAATGTGCTAAAATACCGCTGTTAGCTTAGCATCTCTTCATGTATGTTATGTATAGATGTTTTTCTTTCCAAATGGGATATTTCAGATATTTAAATAGTAAGTGGCCGGAAGATAAGAGTTATACTTGCTAAAAAGTTTACAGTCCACCTCGGCCTAAAGAAAGACCGTGCTTATTTCACTAGTAACTCTCCATTGATAAGATATTCGAGGCCACCTCATCACCACTGCATAAAGCTGCTTAAAAAAAATTTGCTGCTAGCACAATCTGGTTGTCAAAGCTTCATTATACATTTTACTGTACAAATGTTTTTCAGATGATTTTTTTCAAAACAAGAAACTCCGCTATAACAGAAACTCAGGTTAGAGTTTTTAATGATGGTGCTTTCTCCATCTCTTCTTTATTAAGTGTGGTTATCTCCAATAGTAAACAAGTTGATATCATGAATGCTGTTACTGAATGACTTATGTATGATGTTATCTACAGTTCTCAAACTGCAACAATACAGACTGGAACTTTTAAACAGTCTGTTCATCATCATCTATGCCATGAATGTTTAAATATAATATATATTTAATATGAAAAAGCTAAAGCACAAGTGCTTTCTCCCACCCCTAATTCTGTTTTGGGCCCTCACAGATTCGGAATGCATTCTTATCCACCCTTTTTCACAAAGTCAGGAGAGCTCAGGAAATATAAAGTCAAAAATATACAAATCTTTGTTGTTATTATAATAAGATTTTTTCCATGAATGAAATTACCAAGGACCATGAACTTGGACAAAGAAAATCAAAAGGAATTTACAGCAATTATTTATCTTCAAAGTTCAAAACTGGTCACTTCACAGAAAGACTTCAGGGTTTGTTGAAATTCTTCTTCTAAAAAGTCATTCTGTAGTGGAGTTTTCTAGGAAAAATAAAACAGCTTTTAATAACTGGCCCGCTGGTGTGAGAGCTACCGTGGAATAAATTAGCACAAAAATGGAAAAAAAGTCTTATAACTGTTCACTGTTACAGACATAATCAACAAGGTCAGTCACTCTTAAAAGCTCATCTTCCTCTTCTTCTGGTGCCCCTGCCTCCTGCCCACCATTTGTCCCATTGGGGGCCAGGCTCGCACTGGCTGTGCTGTTGTCCTTGGGGGTCTGAGGCTTCTCAGCTGGCTTGCCAATCAAGTTCTCAATGGCTTTGCCAGGACTCTGTCCATTGGTGGAAGGCAAGTCCACTAAGCTATAGTCCAAAGGGCTCCCCACCTTGCCTACATTTTCAAAGTCCTCTTCCTCATCGCTGTCTATCCGATAGGGCTTCTTGGTGCTCTCCTGTTCTGCGGGCAGGACCCTGGGCTGGCTGTCATGGGCAGGCTGATCTGCATCTCCATGAGCATTGTCACAACTCTCCTCCTCGTCTGTCTCAATCCGGTGTAGCCGTTTTCGAGATGGTTTTCCTTCTTCCTCATCTGCTTCTGAATACTCATCTGTGCTTCGACCTCGCTTGCGAACTGACCGCTTTGATTCTTTAGCTAGCTCATCATCTTCAGAGTTCTTGGACATATAGCTCTCTAGAATAAACAGCACATTTAAGCCATCGACACAGTTAACCATAACAGATTTACAAGTAATTTTCCTTTTCCTCCCCATATTCACCCCATATCCTGCTTGCAGACTTGCCCATGTATCCTATTTCCCTCCAATAACTGGCCTGATTTCTCTATCCTCTCAGGCCTCTTAACAATCCACAGAATGATCCATAGTGTGTTTTTTAACTAAGATTTTAGGAAAGAGCAAAATCCCATTTCTTAGAAAACAAACAGGATGATCCTTAAATTAGATGAAGATAGGGTGGTCACAAACTGAGAAACCCCTATCCACTATCCCTCCAATTATGGAATCATGTATACAGACTGATAAGGAAAGATTAAACTGAGCACCCAACTCTGGGCATCTGAAACAGTGCGCTAACCCCTAACCCATATTATTAAATGTCCTTCCTTGGCAGTCTTTCAATGTCTTCTTGTTGTCTCTATTTACATCTGGGTGGTCTCACCTAATCTCATGGCTTGGCATCTATATGCTGATGACCTTGTTCTAGGCCACCCCTAAATTCCAGACTCACGTATCAACAATCCGCCAACCCAACAACTATGCTGGGATTTCTAAACAGGCATTTCAAACCTGGTATGTCCCGAACCAAGGTCCTACACTTCTGCCTCAAACCTGCACTGCTCTGGTCTCCCCGGTCTGAGTCACCGGCAACTCTAGTGTTCTAATCACTTAGTCATATTTTGATTTTCTTTCTCCCATCTAACCAAACAGTAAATCCTCTTTGTCTACCTTTAAAAGGTAGACCTTTCGCCCTTTTCCTACCACTGACCTAGTCTCACCCACCATCACTTTTTACTGGGCCTGTTTCAGTGGGTTCCCAATAGGTCTCCTAGATTCTGCCCTTCTCCCCTTAAATTTATTCGTAACACAGCTACCACAGCAAATTAAAATATAAGTCAGATCATATCACTGCTCTGCTCAAACTCCTCCAATTATTTATCTTCTCACAGAGAATAAACTCCAAAGTTTATACTATACAATGGCCTACTGTGCTATCCCATATGGTAGTCACGAATCACGTGTAGCTATTGTAAATTTAAAGGACTTAAAGTACAAATGAAAAATTCAGCTCCTCAGTCATACCAGTCACACTGCAGGTGCTCAACAGCCACAGGAGGCTAGTGGCTACTATCCTCAACAGCACAGACAGAGCATATTTCCATCACCACAGAAAGTTCAACCGGATGGCACAGTTCATCAGTTTGGCAATTTGCTTGTTCTGTTTTTTGTAAAGGCGCAGGCCCTACAGTCTCCATTACAGCTACTCAACTTCATGCAAAAGCAGCCATAGGCAATATGTAAGAAACAATGAGCGTGGCTGGTCCAATAAACCTTGATTTACAAAGTGTTTACACAAACAGGTGGCTGTAGTTGTGGACTACTGTCTTCGTGTTGGGACCCCTGCTGATCTCTGTATCATCTCATGCAATTCTTCCCTTCAATCATTCTCCTTCCACCACCCTGGCCTCCTTTCTCTCCATTCCTGAACACGCCAGACACAAAGTTGACTCCAGGCCTTCACGTTAGTTGCTCCATCTGCCTGTATCGCTCTTGTTTCAGATAAATGCATGACACACACCAACATTATGTCAAGTCTTTACTCGAATGTGGTCGTCTTAGTGAGGCGTTCCTGTGGTGCCCTATGTGAGATCCCAGCCACTCTTCCCAACCCAGGTCCGCTTTCTCCTTTATTCTTCCCCACAGCATTTATCCCTAATATAGCATCTGTTCTACTTCTTTATCTTGCTTATTATCTCTCCCCCAAATTAAAATAAGGGTTACAGATTTTTGGCTCTTCTGTTCACTTTTCCAGTCACAGTGCCTAGAATAGTGACCAGTGCAATAAGTATTTGTTTTTAATAGTTGAATTACTGAATTTGTTTATCTTTAATGAGACATGAAGATAAATACACACAATCAGATGTTCATCTCCTTTCTTTAGTCTCCCATGTTCAACTATTTCTTCCCTTTCTTTCCTGGCTTGGGCTCAAACTTAACTGATAAGGATCTTTGAAATCTTCAAGACATAATAAATAATGGAGAATTATGTAAAGGTTAGAATCATTTAAAAGAACTGGAACAACCACAAGACTAAATGGATATCACGAATTCACACTTTAGAGCTTTTCCTATACTCCTGGCATGGAGCACAGCTAAAACTATTAAGAAATAAAACAACTGAAGCTCACAGCTAAAACTATTAAGAAATAAAACCAACTGAAGCGCACCGTCAAGTTGGAAAGAGACAGCAGGTCCCTGTATTTGCAACTGTTTAATTATCCGGGGAATAGGTTATCTCAAAATGAGGGCCATGATTAATAAGGGAGCAGAAGAATTCTTGCTCAGATCTTAATTTTCCAAGCCTTGTCTATTTCAATGAAAAATTATTACAATGGAGACATTAAAAATTAGTATCTTATCAAGTATCATTTATTTTAACTGTAAAAGAGATCAGGCAAAAAAGAATGGATTTTGTCTCAAAGATATCACTGCTTATTATTGAATTTCTATGAAATGGTATAGAACCACAATCCTGAGTTTATAGCTTCTATTAATGCCTTGTCCAAACTTCTATAAACTGGAGATCTACTCCTTACCTTCACTCTCTGAGCTGGAAAGCCTACGCTTGTGAACTCGTCTGATTTCTTTCCCACGTCGTAAACTCTTCTGGGAACCATCACTTTCGGAATCTTCTTTGTAGTTAATTTGTCTTTTCTGGTTCCTCCTTGACCGCCTCCGCCGAGTTTCTACAAAATCATCACTAAAATCATCGCTAAAATCACTTTCTGTTCAAGAAAAAAGAAATAACAAAATGCAAGTTTTTAACGAGAAATGTAATTAGCCTAGGTTATAAAAATGTAAAGCTCTTAGTAAGTAGGATTCAGTAATAACAATTTTTAAGTTAATAATAATGGTTCTAAGTCTCCCTCTTTTTTTTTTTTTTTTTTTACACTTGATCTTAGCCAAAAGGCCGAGAAGCAATTCTCTTGTTTTTTTAAGTAGGCTCCACACACAACATGGGGCTCAAACTCACAAGCCCAAGACCAACAGTCACATACTCTACTGACTGAGCCAGCCAGGCACCACTCACTATAAGTCTCTTATTTTCCTCTTAGTAGTATGAGTAAATGTGTAAGGGTCTTTAATCCCAAAGCTCACTAATGTTTCTTACTAGCAGCCAGTGTTTGAGAGTAGATGTTTTACATGATCTTTAGCTCATTCAACCTAAAGCTACCCAGCCAGCTACATGGCTGCTCTTCTTGGTGACTATTCGGTTACTATTTTGCCTCAAAATAACCTGTTGTTCCCATGTGTACAGATGTCTGGTACAATTATAACTTCACAATGTACTGCACAGATTAAAATCTCTAATCCCAGAAAACTGAGAAACCTGTCTTAAAGAAGTATAGAGTTGGAGTTACAGTTCTGGCTTCCCCACGGAAATCAAATTTGCTAATTATAGTATACAGGGCTACCTCAGCTCTCAAAGTGTTGTTACATAGCACTATCCTTACCATCTCTGCATAGTAAACCAGAGACTATGACCATAGTAAACCAGAGACTGTGACCTCTCATAGTAAACCAGAGACTAGAGCAGTTTTTCAGGGGTGCTAACGAATTCCACTGAATTATCACATCCAGCTTTAAATGAATTTCAAACATTTCAAAATGGCTCACCAACAGTCTGAAGGAGTCCCTACTGGCCAAATCTGGGAAAAAATGAGCCTACATAATGGTGATAACATATTATATCCACAGACTAAAATAAGAATCCACAAGTTTATACTAATATAAAGAAATATATAGGGGAGAAGGGAAAGCACTTTCTTAAAGAACACCAAATAATAAATATAAAAGGGATGATAGAGCCAGGAAATCATTAATGAATGCTAAAACTATGGATGAAACATCTGAAAAGAAATGGTATATATATAGTTTCAAAATGCCCTCCTACAAATCACTGTTAATTCGAAAGAGAAAAATATCGGAGACCTGGAGAACATATATTAGTTCTGTGATATTCCTGCTGAAAAATATATAATCTGAATCTAATCATAGTAAACAAACAAAAAAAACACCCCGACTGAGGGACATTTTACAAATTAACTAGTGTGTATTCTTCAAAATCGTCAGGCTCGATAAAGACAAGATTTAAGGAATATTTTAGACTAAAGGAGACTAGAGACATGAATAAATGCAGTGTGTACTCCTGGATTAGATCCTGGACTAGAAAAAAATTGATAGGACAATTTTGGGATACCTGATGAAATCTTAATGTATACTGTTAATCAGATAAAGTAATATATCAGTGTTTTATTTAATTATTTTTAAAGATTTTATTTATTTGTTTGAGAGAAAGAGAGAGAGAGAGCGTGCACGAGCAAGGGGAGAGGAAGGGGCAGAGGGAGAGGGAGAAGCACACTCCCCCGCCAAGCAAGGAGCCTGATGTGGGACTCAGTCCCAGACCCTGAGAAAATGTCCCAAACCAAAGGCAGATAACTGACTGAGCCACCCAGGCGCCCCTCAATGTTTTAAAATATCTGATTTTGATAATTCTACTAGGGTTATACGCTATATGAAACAAAAAAACCCATAAGCCCAGCAGGTGAAGGATATAATACTCCTTCCTGGCTGTGACATTTCCTCAATGAGAGGACAGCTACCTTTCTGCCAATCCTATCTGTTCTTTTAGGTGCTAGGCCTGTCACTATTTATTCAATTAATAGGGATAAACATAAAAGGGATAAGAACATCAACTACTACTAATTTATAAAATACTAATTTATAAAAACGAATGAATCACTCACTGATAGTGATCTAAGTGTTAGAAATAACTGGTGAACCTTCTCTTTCCAACTGCCAGGTATCTGAGAAAAATGTTCTCAGCTTATTGAGAATGAGTCCAAAGAAACTCTATGAAGATAAAGTCTAGGGGTGCCTGGGTGGCTCAGTGGGTTAAAGCCTCTGCCTTTGGCTCAGGTCATGATCCCAGGGTCCTGGGATTGAGTCCCGATCGGGCTCTATGCTTGGCAGGGAGCCTGCTTCCTCCTCTCTCTGCCTGCCTCTCAGCCTACTTGTGATGTCTGTCTGTCAAATAAATAAATGAAAAAATCTTTAAGAACAACAACAACAACAACAACAATAACAAAAGATAAAGTCTAGGCAAGGAAACTTTGCACCAAAAGAATTCATTACAATCCTAAATGAATTTGGTATGCAGTTAACACACTTATCCATATTTATTTATTTATAAAAGATTTTATTTATTTGTCAGAGAGACAGAGCAAGATAGCCAGCACAAGCAGGGAGAATAGCAGGCAGAGGTAAAAGCAGGCTCCCTGCTAAACAAGGAGTCTGATATGGGACTTGATCCCAGGAACCTGAGATCATGACCTGAGCCGAAGGCAGATGCTTAACCAACGGACCCACCCAGCTGTCCCTATTTATTTATTTTTAAAAATTTATTTGAGAGAGAGAGAGAGAGAGAGAGCAAGAGAGAGCATGAGCAAGGAAGAGAAGGAGAAGCAGACTCACCGCTGAGCAGGCAGCCCGATGTAGGGCTCGATCCCAGGACCCTGGGATCACGACCCAAGCCAAAGGCGCAAGCTTAACCAGCCACATGCCCTGGTATTTATTTTCTTAGACATGCTTTATGTGCTTTCTGTGAAAAACTTACTTACTAGTGACTCATGAGAATCCAAAGTTTTATCAGAAAGCTTATATTACAAATGAATGGAATTTTATCTTAAGAACTTTTTTTTTTAAGATTTTATTTATTTATTTGACAGTGAGGGAGAGATCTCAGGTAGGCAGAGAGGCAGGCAGAGGGTGGGGAAGCAGGCTTCCCGCCGAGCAGAAAGCCTGATGTGGGGCTCGATCCCAGGACCCTGACATCATGACCTGGGCTGAAGGCAGAGGCTTAACCCACTGAGTCACCCAGGTGTCCGTATCTTCAGAACTCTTAACTCCAGAGGCCCCTGGGTGGCTCAGTGGGTTAAGCCTCTGCCTTCAGCTCAGGTCATGGTCTCAGGGTCCTGGGATCAAGCCCCACATCGGGATCTCTGCTTGGCAGGGAGCCTGCCTCCTCCCTCTCTTGCTGCCTGCCTCTCTGCCAACTTATGATCCCCCTCTCTCTGTCAAATAAATAAATGAAATCTTTAGGGGGGGAAAAAAAAAAAAGAACTCTTAATCCAGAAGTTCTAAGAATTGAGTTGGTGTGATACGGGTACAAATTATTTTTACCAGAGTCTCTACTGTTCTCCTCAGACTCCTCCTCTTCATCATCATCAGAGTACTTTTTCTTTGGGGTCTTTCTTCGCAAACGCCTGCTTTGCCTCATTGGCCGGGAGGGATGTCGCCTCAGTCTCCGGCTACAGAAGTCAGTGTCGCTGTCATCATTAGATGGTGGGTCTTCTTCACTTTCATCTGGGTTTTCATCAGATACAACAAACTCATCTTGAGATCTGTCCAATAGAAACCAGATGAATTATGATTCTGAGTTCAAATTCTAACAAGTCCAATGAATCATTCAGTAATGGTTAATGTAAAACATCTGGATAATTCTATCAATTTGTCTGTTAATAAAATGGAGAAAGGTCTTGCCATCTATTTTTCTCTTCGGAGAAGTTAAGAAGATGAACTGATGCTGATTTTTGTACATAAATTTCTTTCGCATCTTGGGATGTCCCCCACATGCCTTAAATTTAACATGTCCCAAAGAGAACTCATTATTTCCTAACCTATTCCTCTCTTCTGTTTCGAAACCGTATATTTAGAACTATTACCTATCCAGTAACTCAGACCAGAAACCTGGTACTTTTCCTAATTTCTCCCATCTAATCAATTATTAGCTCCTCTCTGAGTCACCCCCCCTTTTTTTTAAGATTTTATTTTATTTGAGAGAGAGAGAGAATGAGAGAGGGAGAGAGGTCAGTGGGAGAAGACTTAACCGCTGAGCAGGGAGTCCGATTCGGGACTCGATTCCAGGACTCCAGAATCATGACCTGAGCCGAAGGCAGTTACTTAACCAACTGAGCCACCCAGGTGCCCTCTGAGTCACCCTCTTAAAGATACTATCCCCAACCTGATCCCTCTTCTCTGTCAGACACTCATCTCCCACCTAAACCACTATAGCAATTGCCCAGGGAGTCCCTCTAGTCTCTAGACTCATTTCCCCTCCAGATAGCGTCCAAATGAATGTCAGGATGAATTTTTCTGAAACATAAACCTAATTAGCCTGATGCTTAAAAACCCATCCACGGGCTTTCATCATCTTCAGGGTAAGAGTGCAAACTCCTGTGCATGACAAACAAATCGCTCCATCATCTGGTCCTTTTTATCTTTTAGCCACATCTCCAGCTGGGCACTCTCTACTTCTTCCTCATATTCTTGCCACCCTGACATACCAGGAGCTTCCTAAATATTCCATGATGTCTTATGCCTTGCTGTCTTCAACACGTGACTGCTCTTAGGGTAGCCTCTTTCTCATCCCACTGGAAAATCTCAAACTCACTGATTTGCCTAATTTTTCTTTCCTCAAATTTCAGATCAAGCTTTATTTCCATTCTGAGGCTTTCTTTGAACTCTCTAGATTTATCAAACTCTTCCTTTATACCCTAACCTAAGTTAGGGTTAACTTTACCTACATTTTAGTAGCAATGACACAGAATGACTTTTTTGTGGTTTTCAAGTTTGTTTCTCCCACTAACAATCTAGAGGAGAAACTCTGCGGTTTTGTTTCGACACTTGGTCTGCAGGAAAATCCTTCCTGGTCTTCCACACTGGATTACCTGCCCCAACCCAAAGCTCTGTGGGTCATCAGAGAATAGCACCTAATCACCTAAACTTCGTCTAATTCTCACATTTGACTAGGAACCTCTCAAGGACATGTTGGTGGAAGGTGGTATGGAGATGCACAGCAAATGAATGCTCGATCCTAGTTAATAAAATGTAAACACGATTTTGAATATTAAACGTATTGATCTAAAAAGCACCAAGATCCGTAGTCTTGAATCTGTTTTAAATAGCCTGAAAATGAAAGAGATCGTCCACGTGCATGAAGGACCAAAGCCCCGTCACAACCTGGCCGAGCTTCTCCTCGAGCCCCATTTAAGCCTGTATCTAGTGAATGGGATCTGCTGGCAAACCACGCACCCGTCGCTGATCTTGAATTCATCCTCACTCTCTTCTTCATCCAGGTTGCTGTCACTGTCCAGATCATTTAGGCGCCGGCGTTTCTTCCGGCGTGCAGCAGCTGCCCTCTGGGGTCGTTTATTTTCTTTTCTTTCTTCATCCAAAATAGTAGAGATGTCTTTCCCACGGTGACCTGTGATGGTGGAGATATCTTTTCCTCGGCCAGCTCCTGAGTTTGGGGGTGGGAGGAGGGGGAGAGGTGCGATAAGGGGAATAAAGGGAGGAAGAGAGATGACAGTACGTTTATTAAAAGCTTCTCTTTAATATCTAGAGCGGTCCTTGTTCATGTTTAGGCTCATTTATTTTTTTCCTAGAAATAAGTGGTTTTCTCACAACTTCATCTGACAGAGCTCTCATCAAGAGAATTTTTGCACATGTTTAGTCTACTAAGTGGAAGTTCACCATGTAAAGAACATTTTTAAAAATTTGATATAATTTGCATATATATAACACTCACCCTTTTAAAGTGTATGGTTCAGAGGTTTTCAGTAGTCACAAAGTTATGCAACTATCACCACTAACAAATTCCAGAACATTTTCATCAACCTCAAAGGAAACATCATACCTATTAGCAATCACTCAAGAATCTCTTCTTCAAAGTTGTCTTTTGGACATGGCTTTAGAAAGAGACCAATCTGTTTTAACTGTGTGTGCAGGACAGAAAAGATGAGAGTCCTGCAGCAAAACTGTCAATAAGGTGCAGAGCCCTGGAAAAGCTGGTGAGTTCTTCAGACAGCCTACTTACTGCTAATCCTCCTCAGAGTTTTCCTAAGTACGAATGGAAACCACAATGCTCCATACTAGAGCGCTGGTAATTCTCTATGTCATTCTCCTTAATTTACCTTTAAATCCTTCTGTTTTTATGTCACCTGTTAAAGACTATGGAATTAATATACTGATTTTTAAAAGGCTGATCTAAAGCAATCATTCAGATTCAGATTATCTGTAATTTTTAAGATGCTGTATCTGTAGTGATCTAAACATAAACAACAAGAAAGTTTAAGCAGGTTTTCTTTTTTTTTTTAAAGGTTTTATTTATTTATTTGACAGACAGAGATCACAAGTAGGCAGAGAAGCAGGCAGAGAGGGTGGGGGGAAGCAGGCTCCCTGCCGAGCAGAGAACCCGACACAGAGCTCGATCCCAGGACCCTGAGATCATGACCGAGCCGAAAGCAGAGGCTTCAACCAACTGAGCCACCTAGGTGCCCCTTAAGTGGATTTTCTCTTTGGAAGCAGAAATAAATTTTTTAATCTATAGAGGAACATTTACATTTTATAACAGGTCATAAAACTGCTTAAAAAATAATTAGTAAGATCTGAGTCTACCCATTGACACTATGTCCACAAATTATTTTGAATCTCAGACATTTAACATCATTAGAGAATAAAAAAATATATATGCTTACTGCTCTAATCAGTGTTGTTTTTCTGTCTTTTTTTGAAAAGTAATCTCTATGCCCCACGTGGGGCTCGAACTCACGACCCCGAGAGATAGAGAGTCACATGCTCTACTGACTGAGCCAGCCAGGTGCCCCTAATCAGGGCATTTTAAGTTAACTTATTGGCCAACTCATACGAAGAAGAGGGAATGATAAACACATACCTCCTCCATCAGCTTCTTTGATATCATCTTCTATAGCTTCATCGATTGCTTCATCAAATTCATCAAATCTAAAATATATACAACAATCACATCACAGCCTGGCCTGGTACATGGGTTAGGAGGAGTTGCCTCTGAAATGAAAAAGGCCTGAATATAAAAATGCTCTCTGCCACTTCGGGACTGTGTGACTTGGACTACATCACTTCACTCCTATGAACCTCAGTTTCTTTTGTAAATCGGGATCTAACTCATTTTCGAAGATCAGCTATACCAGGCATCAGCAACTATTTTGTACAGGGCCCGACAGGAACTCTTCTAGGCTCTGTAGACTCCACAGTCTCTGCCGCAGCCACACAGCCCCGTCGCTGTGCCGCCATGGAGAACGCAAGCGGACTTTATCCATGGACACTGGGATTTGAATTTCATGTAACTGTCCTAAAATTTTCTTCTCTTGGTTCTTTTTTCAGTCATTTATACATACAAAAACCATCCTTAGGTCACGGGCTATGGCTATATAAACAGGCAGTGAGCCAGGACCTGCTCCATGGGCCACAGTTTGCCAACCTCTAACTACACAAATCAAACAGTGAAGTAAGTTGAATTAGTGTTCCAGAAGTAATACTAAGTGTGAGAACTACATGATTACTGTCATCGGAGATGGTATTACTATTATTACCAAAATCCATACATAGATGGTCAGAATTTTAGAACTAGGTAAAAGTACTTTTTCTTACAAAGGCCGTTGCCCCCAACTTAAACAAGACAAGTCTAGACGATCCTCAAGATTTCTTCACATACAAAACTCGCTAGACTTTAGACCTGAGGTGACCAAAAGGATAAAGTGGCTTGTCTAAAACTAAGCAAAATATGGTCATTAGTCACGTGTGGCTACCTATATTTAAATTAATTAAAACAAAAAATTCTGTTCCTCACCAGGTGGATTTTAAGTGCTCCACAGCTACGTATGGCTACAATTACCAGGCTAGAGAGGAAAGAAAGAGCACCCTTCCATAACCACAGTAAATCACACTGGACAGTGCTGGATTAAAGGCAGACAATGGATTAACATCAGAGTTTAACAGCCAAATATTTTGTCTTTTCATAAGAAACTCATTATAGCTATGGATTTCCTCTCTAGGAAAAAAAAAATCTACATAAACATAAAATTTTATCTCTAATTTCAGAGAAGCCAGAAGTTTCAGGTTAAGAATTCTTCTACAACATAGTATTTAATGGCTATATAGTATCTAATCTTATAGATGTATCATAATTTAAAGTTTACTTCCAATTTTTTCACAATTACAAACACAGCTATGAAAAACAACCTTGCAGCTGTAGCTTAGCTTTTCTTAAACAAATTCTGAGAAAGTAAAAATCTGTGCATCCACTCATCAGGCTAGAATAAAAGATACAGATAAAGCCAGATACAGTTAACAGAAAACAACATTTTCTCCTAATGGTATGTTTCAGTATAAAGTGGCAAAACAGCCTCTTCCTTTGAATGACTTCTACTTTCTCACTCACTGAAAAACTTGGTTTTCTATGTCAGAGACCATCAGAACCTTTGGACTTACAAAATAGTATCAGTAAGAATAAAACATTCCACGCTTGCCTGGAGGATTTGTTATTTTTAACACAAATAAGTAGCCTTGATTTATATCCCAGATACAGAGCTCTGAATAAGGGATTGGATATGACACTCTACACATCGACTTCAAATTCTATGCTTTCAAGGAAACAGGAACCCATGTCCCTATGGGGTCTAGATCTGATAAATTTGCCTTGAACATAACTCTTCATTGCTTCTTTTACATTCCATCTAAACGCTACCCTTCCTCAGTATTTTATTGTAACTCTACATAACTCTATCTTATCATAACTCTATCATAACTCTTGATGCCCGAGGTTTCACCAAGAGATTTGTTGGACTATACGTCTGTTCTTAGTATTCTATAAAACTGTTGGCTTTAAAGAGTATAAAAACTGTTCTTCAAGGGTTGTAGTAATTTATAATATAACCATGAAGTTGATGAATTTTATCATCAATTTTGTTCTAATTTTGAAAAGCAAAATTATTTTCTTGTTCTTTCAATTTTAATGTGATTGCTGAGTAAGGTCAAAAATTAGTTTCATGTTTATTGGTCATTTTTGCTTTTTCTTTTACAAGCACTGATTTGAAACCTTTGCCCATTTTATCAGCCACTACGCATCTTTTCTTACTCATTTGTGAGAGCTTTTTAAGTATTAAAGATTTTAATGTTTTGTCATGTGTTGCAATTATTTCTTTTAATTAAAAAAATTTTTTTGCGTTTGTGAGAGAGAGAGAGAATGAAAGATCACAAGCAGGGGGAGGGTCAGAAGGAGATGGAAAACCAAACTATATTTACTGATTCTTTCAACAGACATTTGTGGAGCATTTACTATCTCTTGGTACTATGCTAAGCTGCCAAGGGCGAAAGAATGTGTAAAATAGACGTGTTCCTTACCTTCATGCTAATAGTCCAGTCAGGGAGAGAAATACTAATTCAGTAACTAAAATCACAATCATTACAACCATGACAAGTACTTTCTAAGAGAAGAATTGGTTGCCACGAGGGCATATAATAGATTTGGTCAAGAGAAGGGTAACAAGCTGAAAGCAGGAGGGAAATCCTAGGTCGAGTAAACAGCACATGCAAAGGAGCTGAAAGACGACTGTGGCTGATAATGACAGAGTGAGGGAAAATGTGGATGACACGGAGCTAAAAAGCTAAGTATGGAGCAGACTCTACGGTGCCTGTAGGGGCCTTGTTAAAGGCCTTATCCCAAGAGCTAGAGAAATCTGACAGAGTATATTAAGCAGAAGAGGATGACAGGAGCAAATTCACCCTCTGAAAGGACCATGCTGGGTGCTCTGAAGCGGCAGGATTCTACAGACAGCAAGTAACAAATATATACAAGCAACTAAAGAGCATTATAAAGGGAAAAGCATGTACCTTTGGGTCATTCTGGATAATTAAAAAAGACATTTTACACTTTTACCATTTCCACATATTTCATACCTGTAACTTATACATTTGCGTGTTCTTGTTGATCTCCTTTCAAGTAAGTTTGCTTTGGATTTTTTTGAATCTTTTTTCTTTTCTTCATGATCTTCAGAAAAATCTGGCTCCTGGTTTAAAAATATGGTAACAAACATAGAGGTTATTAGGACAAAAAAAAAAAGATTCTTAGAATGAATAGTTTTCTAATGTCTGTCTAGGCAGCACATGTTAAAGTTCCGAAAAAGTGAGGTGATCCCACCCACCCCCCAACAAAATGGAATGAACATGGCAATGCTAAGTAGAGAGATTCAAAAGAGTACTGGTGATCAAAAGATGAAGCCCTTCTGTATTAAAATTCTTATGTTTCTGTGAATTTATAATTAACTCCTTTAAAACAATCATGATGAAGTTTCTCCACTGATAGATTTTTTAACAAATAATTAAATTGAACACATAGAAGATATTCAGAAGATATGCTGAATCAATGAAATAATGGATTTAGAAAAAGAAAGAAGCATGGTGATGAAGTAACCTGTCTTGGTTAGTTAAGGATGTGATTTAATTAAGCCTGAATGATAGTGTGTACAAAACTAGGAACATTTCCTTATTTCAAATGAAAACCATGTTACATGTACTTTCACTCTTGGGATATCGTTAATTAGAAATTAGACTAATAAATGTAAAACAATATTCCTTCAAAGAAACCAACTGTTAAGAACAGATACTGAGATTTTTAATAAACACCCAGAGCACAGAATTAAAACCCAATCTCCCTAAACTACTCTTTTGTCACTTTACATAAACAACACATAAAGAAGCTAAAAACTAATTACCCCGTATAATACAGTGTTAAAAAATAAAACCACCCTAGAACATAAACCCCATAGGGGTGAGCTATATAAATCTGATTTGAATGTGATAGTACATTTTAGGGCTATCAGCATATATGTAATTTTATTTTACTATTATTATTATTATTTTCTTTAGTAGACTCTATACCCAACGTGGGGCTCAAACCTGCAACCCTGAGATCAAGAGCTGCAAGCTCTACCAACTGAGCCCACCAAGCAGTCCAGCATGTATTTAATTTTAATCATGAGGGAAAATACAGGTGATTTCCTTAAGGTCCTACATTTCCACCTTTTTTTTTTTTTTTAATTTATTTGACAAACAGAGATCACAAGGAGGCAGAGAAGCAGGCAGAGAGAGAGGAGGAAGCAGGATCCCTGCAGAGCAGAGAGCCCAATGCAGGGCTCGATCCCAGGACACTGGGATCATGACCTGAGCTGAAGGCAGAGGCTTTAACCCACTGAGCCACCCAGACGCCCCGACATTTCCACTTTTAATAAAACAGGTATACTATGTATTTAAAACAATTCATATTACATAAAGTGGGTTAAATTTTAGAACAATTATGGCAGTCTCTTCTTCAAAAATAGTACAAACCAGGAACTTACTTGTGGAGGAATGATGTTTTCAATACTGATACCCACATACACCAAACGTTCTTTCCTTTAAGTGAAAAACAAAAATGCATGCAAAATGAGATTTGCTAAAAATAAAATTATTATGAAAACATTACTAACACAGACAATACTAAAATTATGATTTCATGGTAACAGCAGAGGCTAGCTAGGACACAGACATGTTAGCTACTCTCTATGGAGCTTATTGCACTGGTATCTGTGGTAGGCACAAAACTTTCTAAAGGTAAAAACTGTAAAAAGGTGTAACCAAAAATTGTAGTCTTGGAAGTAATCATACTGATGAAATAAAACCTGTGAACTGAAGTAGACAAGGAAAATCCATGAGGAGAGTCATGCTACAGCTCACTGACAAAGTGATTACACAGAAAGTCAACCCCGGACAAACTAGATCTCTGTTCTGCTAGAAGTTTTCATATGCGTCTATACAAAACTATACTCTTGTGGTAATAAGTATCAATACTAAAAAAAGAATTCTACACAATAGGATCATATCAAGGTCCCAGGGAATGATACTAACACCATGCATTTGCAGAGAAGAAAAAAGGCATGCAGCCACATAACGGGCTCTGCACCCTAGTTGCTCCAATGAAGATTATTTTTAGAGCCAGGCAACGCTTCTTCACGCAATGTGGATTTAGAACACTAATGAGATCTCCATAGTTTCTTTCCAAAGAAACAGACCCTTGTTGATTTTAATTCAACAAATTTCACACTAATAAATTACTATACTCAATAGGCTTTTTTTTTCTGGTTCTCCCAAACCTCATCTAATTCACCAAGGACAGATGAGCTCTTATATACAGGCCAGTGTCCATTGAACTGAACAGAAATAATGAGCACTCTTCCTCTCTTTGCTTGTGACATCCCTTAGAGAAGGGCATTACTCATCCAGTTACCTGGGTTCTTCAGAATGCAGCCTTCACTGCCCTAGAAACCCTTGGCTCTGCTAATAAGAATCTTATGGTCTTTTTGAGATGGGTTATAAAGCTATTCAGTCAAAAAGTGGCATGTAAGAAAATGATAAAGTTATTTTAATCAAAAACTGATTAAAAATAGTATAGTTAATGAATTAAAAACCAGGAAAGGCAAGAACAGTAGTAGCTGAAATTAGCAGGGAAGGCTCCATGGATAAGTCAGAACTTGAGTTCTGTTATTAAATATGTTCAACACGTATCTATCCTTACACTAATCAAGGATTTACTGTTGTATCAGCTTCCTCTTTTATATTGCAAAATCTCTACTTTCACTTGATTATTATCTCCCAAACTCAACTGAAAAACATTTGGTTCAAGTCCACCATGATTTGTGTCAGGCTTGGGAATTCCAAGGGCAAATAATACACGGTTCTTATCCTCACAATTATTTAGCAACTGACTGTAGTCCATTATGAAAAGGTATAATGGAAACATGAAAAAGGAATAACTTGTTTGAAAAGCTGAGAAAGTTAAAAAAAAAAAAAGCTGAGAAAGTTGGAGGCTTTAAATAGGTGGTAACAGTTAAGCAGGCTCTTGAAGGTAGGTATGATTACTCATTACAGCATTCTCTTGCTCAGTAATCTTCTAGAAAGATATGTCTTCTGTTCCATATGTCTTCTGTTCACCACCACCTGGCTCAATGATCATACTGGGCCCAGACCTCATCATTAGAAATAACCACACCCTTCCTAAAATTTCAATTTCAGGGAACCTATTTTTTGACGTCTACTCGCTCACTTTCTGGCTCATTCCCTCTGGTACACTGATTTCAACAACTCCCTAACTCCAGTGGGACCTCTATCCATCGACCCTAGCCTCTTTTCACTGTCCATTACTCCCTTGTGTCCTTACTTTCCCCCTTACCTGGCTTAGACTCCATGGTCCATCATTATAAATACTCCTTTGCATATACTTTCAAATTCCTTGTCTCTTTCTCTCCTTCCCTCTGTTACATTACCTGGAAAATTCCAACCCTGATTAAATCCAACTCTCTGCTAGCAAACACTAGTAAAAGAACTCTGGAAGTACAGAACTATTTGAATTCCCAAATAATTTCTGGCACCAAGTTCTGGAAGGGATGTTTACCAACCAGTTGAAGGGACTTCTGAAACATCAAATTTCACAGAGCATCACAGCTCCAGCTCTGTAGTCAGTTTCTGGCCAGTCACTAATTACTGATTGACATATCCTTCTTCTTCACCATACTGTAGAGCCCTTTAAGGTAGAGACCACATAATACACTTCATGTTGATTACATTGCCTGGCATAAAGTGGATGCTCACTAAATGTTGGTTAAATGCTGAATAAATGTATGAACAAAGGGAAAGATGTTCTTGTGCTAGGATATAGAGAGTAACCAAGGCCCTAAGGTTCTAGAATGAGTGCTAGAGAAATTGTTTACAGATTTTAAAAAGGATGAATAAAAATGTTCATTTTTAAAAACAAGTGAAGTCAACTAGAGTTTACAGTTAATATATTATTTACTTTAGAAATATACATATTTTGCTGTTTAGAGCCCCTAGGATTCATATATATCAGGAGCTATTATATTAGGAGCTATAGATAAAGAAAACTTTGTTAACCAGGTTACTGGTAAGAATTAAAAAATAGTAACAGTAATTCAGTTAACTGGCTTTGTGGCAGACTATTCTCTCTGTAATAGTAACTTTGCTCTCCTTTCTGTGATGCAATCTCAAAAAGGATTTCCTGTGTGAACTAAAGCCACAATTATGGATGTCCTCTTAAAGGATGACATTTAAATAAAAAGGATTACCAAAAGGAAAAGGAAAAGCAAATGAGTTAGTAATGGGAGACCAATAGTGTGAATAAGTATTGTGGCATATTTTAACATAAATTTTAAGTACTTCTTATTGCAAGAATATACCCTATAGTGAGGCAATAGTCAAAAAATTTTAACCAGCCTTTCCACAAAACTGCTCATTTCTCAGAAGCGCAGGTAGATTTCAGAAAGAGTAAAGAAAATGCCTAATTTCTTATTATGATTTAATCTGAAGCATCCTTACTTAAACCTTTTCTAGTGTCAAAAATAAAAGCAGGAAAAACTGTGAATATCAAAATTATCCTAATAATTACATGAAAGACTATTATCCAGAGTTTCTAAATACAAAGGTATTTAGACAACTGATTTTTTAATGATTTTTAAATTTTTTATAAACATATATTAGTAGCCCCAGGGTAGACAACTGGTTTTTAAAAATGAACTATTTTTATCTCCTAGTCAACTTTAGAGATTAATTTTGCCTTTAAACCAAATAGCATCCATTATAAACCAGAGAGCTCAAGGTGACTAGTAAGGAAAAAAAACAGGATCTAGAGTCAGAACCCACAGAGTTCACAGTATGGGGGAGTAAAGTGAGTGGATTATCAAATGAGCTAGCTGACTGTTTTAAAGCAAGCTAAACTGGAGGGAGAGGAAGACTACGAGAGGGCAAGTAAAGGTTACAGTAGCAGCAAATGAAGATAGTAAGACCAACCAGGAGACATTGTTCAGATTTTCTCATAATGTGTACAAATGGGCATTAATGGTTAAGCTTCTGAATATTCTCTTTTAACACCTCCACCACTTTATTATGTAAGGTATGCCCGAGTGCAGGCCTCACCAGCTCTCCTAGACCCCAGTGCAACAGTCTCAACTCTAATTCCTTTTTACTGTTACCAGGGCCTCTTTTCTGAGATAAAGAACTGATTATACTTCTCTCTCCTTTGATGGCTCTCTTGCTACCTGTAGAGAATAATTCAAATCCCCTAGTCACAAATGCCAAGCTGTTCATAATCTGGCCTCAATCTGTGTTGACAACTTCATCTCCTACCACTCTCCCCCTCTCATGTTCACACTTCGTCTTTGCTTATATTTGGCTCTTTGCCTGAAATATCCTTCTCTGAATGTCCAGCCCTAAGTTATCTTCCAAGGGCTTGCCTGATAGCCCAAACCTCTACCAGAAACTAAAATGGCCCTCCCAGTGTTCCTGTATTGCTCTGAATATACCATCTGTCTACCTTTCTGTACCACTGGCTGATATGGCTGTACTCTGATAGAGGTGAGTTCCATGTAAGGAGAGCTTCGTCTCACTCACCTTTTCTCTTCAGTCTGGTACACACTGAAGATGTGTTGTTTAGCATTAAATTACTATTGTTTAGCGATAAAATAACTGAAGAAGGTACAAATAAATACAAATAAACATAAACTTATGATCCTGATTTTGAGCCCCCTTTTAAAGACTGGATTCAACTCCAGTCTTACCTCCTCCAAGAAGTCTTCTACAACTGCTTTAAGACTACAGTGCAGTGGTAAATTGAAAAGGGAGGCATTTCTTGTAAGTTATGACTCTTATGACACAGTTCAGCATTTCAATGCTCTTTATTTTCTCGGTGTTAATTCTGCCCAACCAAAGAGATGACATGGGTAACTAGACCAGTTCTTAGAATTTTCTTGTACTCACTACATACTTAGTAAGGTATATATCCTGCACTATATATATATTCAGAGTAGGTTTTGATAAATATTTTAGATCAGGAGTTGGCAAACTTTTCCTGTAAAAGGACAGATAATAAATTAGGCGTGGCAGGTCAAAAGGTTTTTGTTGTAACTACTCAACTTTGCTGCTGTAGTGTTAAAGCAGCAACAGACAATATATAAACAAATGAGAATAGCTGTGTTCCAATAAAACTTTATGGACAACAAAATTGGAATATACAATGTTCATCTGTCATGAAGTAAGATTCTTGTTTTGATTTTTTTCAATCATTTAAAAATGGAAAACAAACATTCCTAGTGGGAATAGAAAAATAAGGAGCATGCCACATTTGACCCACAGCACAGTTTGCCAATAATTACTTTAGATAGATATATTAACCTATACTGCAAGACAGTTTTACTATCAAATTCCCAAGTAAAACATTAACACACACATCACAATATCACAATACCTGCGTTCAGCACGTTCCTTCTTCTTTAAGGCAACATCCAAGTCCTGCAATTGTTCTTCTAATTTCTCACACAGTAGTTTCTGAAAGAGCAAAACACGAGTATTATTTCTTTTCTTTATTTTCTTTTTAAAAGATTTTATTTATTTGACAGACAGAGATTACAAGTAGACAGAGAGGCAGGCACAGAGGGGAAGGGGGAAGCAGGCTCACCGCTGAGCAGAGGGCCCAATGTGGGGCTCGATCCCAAGACCCTGAGATCATGACCTGAGCCGATGGCAGAGGCTTTAACCCACCCCGAGCCACCCAGGTGCCCCTATTTCTTTTCTTTAAAGAAAGCTCTATACCCAGTGGGGTGCCAGCTACCCCTGTGATTATCATTTTTAACACCTTTCCACAAACATTTATCCCTTGCATGCTGGCTCATGGATACCGTGCAATTCTGAGAGCTGAAGAGGGGGTCACACAGTGAATGAACACTGAGAAGGTCTTTGGGTTTAACTACATAAAGAGGTGACTCAGCCTCTACTGAAATGAGGATAAGCACAGTATCTCTGCTGCGGAAACTCCCAGCCTCATCCAGAAATACATTCTATGCCTATGCTGCTGGTGGTAATCAACATTTAAAATAGCATCTGGGGCGCCTGGGTGGCTCAGTGGGTTGAGGCCTCTGCCTTCGGCTCAGGTCGTGATCCCGGGGTCCTGGGATCGGGCCCCATATCGGGCTCTCTGCTTCAGCAGGGAGCCAGCTTCCTGCCCCCACCACCTCTGCCTGCCTCTCTGCCTACCTGTGGTCTCTGTCTGTCAAGTAAATAAATAAAATCTTAAAAAAAAAAAAAAACAGCATCTGGCTCAACATGTTTACATGACAGTCATGAAAAAGTTTTAAGAATCCCACAACATTTTTAAGGGAGAAGGTTCTATGTACAATACAATATAATGATGCCAATCACTACTTTTAAAAAAAGAGAATGGGAAAAAATTATACAACCATGCCACAAGGTGATTGGGTCAAAACAGAGCTGAAGAATATATCTGATAAAGCTATGCTAAGCCAAGGAAGTCCACTTCGATGGGAACTGCAATAAAGCCCATCATTTTTAAAGTGAGAGGAGCTTGGACTTGTGACAGAAGGACCCCTTGAGTTCAGTGGCATAAAAATAGTCTGTTCTTCAGCTTCCAAAGGAAATTCACCTGAATCAAGATATAAGAGAAGTATACTCCATGTTTCTATTCACAGTAGCGTCACAGTGGTACATAATTCATAACACCATCCACAACACTGACAAGGAGGAGGTAGGCAGAAATGAAAAAGAGGATGAAACAAAGGGATAAAGAAACTTATTTCTTCCCTCATATATAATTTTAATTTGGGGCTATTTGTGCCTGTAACAAATGTAAGAAAAAAAATATATCAGAGATTGTAATTTTATAAAAATTAGGTCTTCAAAAAATGCTTTGGTAAGAAAAAAAAAAAGGCCTAAAAGATATTAATAAAAGGTAGTTTTTTTCAATAGTCTCAAGTTTCACAGAATTTTAAACAAAAAGGAAACAGTATATACAAACTGCTTTGAAAATGAAAAACGTTTAGTGGCCGTCAAAAAGTATTATTAATTGGAATATAAAACTGAAAGACTAAAAACAAAGGTGTGCTGGATCTTACGTGTTGGCAAGGGGGGCAGAACCATTCTCCATCTGGGATGATCATCAGAGGAGGGCGAAGGCAGGCAGTGTGGTACCCACTGTCACAAGAGTCACACAGAAGAATCTGAAATAAACCACAGGTTAATGTCAACCTAGTTCTATGACTAAAATTCAGTGACTCTGAAGTTAAAGACATTTCAGTATTTCTTAATACTATACTAAGAAGTACCCTGTATCAGAGTATCCTTATTTGCATAAAACTAAAAAAGCTCTGCTAATTAGGATTTAACACATTTTTTTAAAAAAAGTAAAAAAAAATTTGCAATATGTTAAACTACAAAATTCAGTGAAAAATTAAGTTCTTTTTAAAAAAAAGATTTTATTTATTTACTTTAGAGAGAGAGAGAGAGAGAGAGAAAGAAATAGCAGGAGGAGGGGGAGGGAAATCAAGCAGATTCCATGCTGAGCAGAGCCTGACATGGGGCTTGATCTCACGACTCAGAGATCATGACCCCAGCCAAAATCAACAACCAGATGCTCAAATGACTGAGTCAGCCAGGAGCCCCACAACTTTTTCTTTTTTTCTTTCTTTTAAGATTTTGTTTAATTTTATATATTTTTTAAAGTAGGCTCCCTGCCCAGCATGGAGCCCAATGTGAGGCTTGAACTCACGACCCTGAGATCAAAACCTGAGCTGAGACCAAGAATCAGACAAAACTGACTGAGCCACCCAGGTATCCTAAGATTTTATTTACTTATTTAATTTTTAAAAGATTTTATTTATTTGTCAGAGAAAGAGAGAGATGAAGAGAGCACACAAACAGGGGGAGCAACAGGCAGAGGGAGAAGCAGGCTCCCCGCTGAAACATACATGAGCCTTTTTATCATGAAAATTCAAACACGAAGGGACAAAGGTATGAGGAATGGAGCTATACTTAGGACCATCATGTTCACAAATAAAGGGTAATAATAACTAGACCTAAGTTGTCATTTTATATTATTTAAGATGACCAATTCTCTTAAAATGTACACTCAGAAATGTTTAACTTAAAAAAAAAAACTTATTTTTAAATGATTTTAGATTTACAGGAGAGTTGCAAATATAGTAAAGTTCCCATAAATCTTTTATCCAGCAGGGGCGCCTGGGTGGCTCAGTGGGTTAAGCCTCTGCCTTTGGTCAGGTCATGATTTCAGGGTCCTGGGATCAAGCCCTGCATCAGGCTCTCTGCTCAGCAAGGAGCCTGCTTTCCCCCTCTCTCTCTGCCTATTTCTCTGCCTACTTGTGATTTCTCTCTCTGTCAAATAAATAAAATCTTACAAAAAAATATTTTACCCAGCTTTCATTAATGTTAACATCTTACATAACCATGGGACATTTATCAAAATTAAGAAATTAACATTAGGGGTGCCTGGGTGGCTCAGTAGGTTAATTGTCTGCCTTCAGCTCAAGTCATGATCCTGGGGTCCTGGAACTGAGCCCCATGTTGGGCCCTCTTACTCAGCAGGGGGCCTGATTCTCCCTCTTCCTCTGCTCTTCCCCCTGCCTATGCTCTCTGTCAAATAAATAAATAAAATCTTAAAAAAAAAAAAAGGAAATTAACTTTAGTACATTACTATTAACTGACCAACAGACCTTATTCAGATTTCACCAGCTTCTCACTAGAGCTCTTTTTCTGAATTCAGAATGCAGTCTAGGATATTATACTGCATTTAATCATGTTTCCTCAATCTCCTCCAATAGTAACGGTTGCTTGGTCTTTGTTTTCCATGACTTTGACAGTTTTGAAGAGTACTAGATACTACATGGACTGCCACTCGGTCTGGGTTTGTTTGAGGTCTTTCCTTGATTAGACTGATGTTACGAGTTTTGGAGAATACCACAGAGATGAAGTGCCCTGCTCACTGCATCAAATCTGGGGGTATGTGATATCATCATGACCTATTACTAATAATATTAACCTTGATCACTTGGTTATGGTAGTACCTGTTGGTTTTCATCACTGTGAAGTCACTGCTTTTCACTTTCCATACTTATTCCAGTCTAGCGCACACTCAAGGGGAGGAGAATTAAGCTCCACTTTCTGGAGGATGGAGTAGCAAAGAATTTGGAGGTGTAAGCTAAAACCAACCACAGAAATTAATAAATTTCACCCATTAATTTTAGCACTCATCAGTGCTACATCATTGCTTGTAATGACTGTACTGTGGTGTTCTAATGATGATTACTTACTTCCCTCATGCCTTCTACTATTTGGAATTTTTCTGTAAAGAAATGTCTTTCTCCCCCCATTTGTTTGTTTATTCAGTCACTTCTTTATATCAGAATCAACTAATGAAGATTTATTTTCTTTGGCTTAGAATCTAAAACCATTATTTATTGTTCAACTTCCCCTAGCCACGGCACTTGCTAATTCTTTCAGATTGGCTCCTGTGTCCTTAGGACTCATTTGCATCCTTTTTTTTTTTTTTTAAGGCACTTTTTAACTTTCTGACAGTAAGGGACACTCCAGGTACATCCTGTATTTTCCCTGCCCAAGTCCTTTAATTAGCCATTTCTCCTAGAAGCCCTAGTCCCTTTACTGGAGAATGGTATTTAGAAACCAACATTTGGGGGTTACCTGCATGGCTCAGTCAGTTAAATGTCCAACTCTTGATTTTGGCTCAGGGCATGATCTTGGGGTCGTGGGATCCGAGCCCAAGATCATGGGCTCCCTGCTCAGTGTGGAGTCTGCTTGTCCCTCTCCCCTTGTTCCTCCCCCTGTTCTCTCTCTCTCTCTCAAATAAGTAAATAAATGAAATCCTAAAAAGAAAAAAACAAATAAACATCTGGGTGCTGAGTGCTGTGGTATGAGGCATCACTGCTTCTAGGCTCTCTCAGAAGACAGAGCTATGATATAAATGTGTGTAGAGCAATCCATGTATACACACAGATCTATATTAAAGCAAGCAAGAGTTCGTACCAGTATCTCCAGCTCTAATCCAGTACCACAGGACTCATTCTAGCCTTTGATCTTGCTCATCTGTAACTTCCTTTTTCTGACACTGAGAAAACTGGCTCCAATTGTCCACACTTCATTTATTTGTTCAACTGTAGTATATATGTAAAGCAGTTTCTAAATTGCTAACATGAACCACAGTGGCTGGGGGAATGGGGAGAGGAGGGCAGTGTGATGTGCTCCTGTGTGCAGCAATTTAAAAGTGAAAAGCTGCCTTCCCCCTTCTTACAATGCATCACAATTTGCTGCCACCACCCAGAACTCAATACTAAGTCACACCAGTGTTTTACTTGAGTCATACCACTGACTAGATCACACAGGCATATGTGGACTAACCTAGGCACCTCATTTCATTTATCACATTGTTTGCATGGTAAAATGTAATCTAAATTTCAAATAACAAAATTAAAAGTAAACTTTTGGAATGTAATATATTTAAAAAGTGATGTTTGTCTCTATTTTGCAATAAAGATAAAATTCCGTTAAAATAAATCCTACTGTGTAAGGTTTCCAAACCTTGGCCAATGATCCATTTATTTTGACTAAAACATCTGGAACACCCCACTGAGATCTAGACTCATCAATGAATTTATTGCTTTCTTGCTGTAAGTTCAGCGAGGGCAAGGACCATGTCTTTCTAATTCAGCGTCATTTCTGTACCACTTAACACATCATAGTTGCTTGAGATTTTGATTTATGATTATCTTTAAACACTGGGCATACGGAATCCACCACACTTGGGATCTTGAGTTTCCAATGTCACTCTTTTTTGGCATAGCAGCCAGCAATGGGATTTTTAAGAGCAGTTATTAAAATAACCAAATAAATGAAAAGTCCTGTGTGTGTTTTCCAAGAAGGGTACAACTTTCTCCATCTCTTTAACATCATTTCTGCTCACTTCATTTTACTTCTCTTTTCCTCTCACCCCTTTGCTACTGACATCTACTGCTGCCTCAGTCAAAATGCACACTCTTGGTTTAAAAAGGTATTAGAAATGGAAGGGAAAGAACACAAGTGTTAATTTTTTATTGGAGGGCAGAAAAGACCGTATCTCAAGTCTTCTCATGGCCTTTCTCCACACAAAGATCATTTTTTTAAAAAAGATTTTATTTATTTATTTGATAGACAGAGATCACAAGTAGGCAGAGAGGCAGGCAGAGATCGACGGGGAGGCAGGCTACCTGCTGAGCAGAGAGCCCAACTCGGGGCTTGATCCCAGGACCCTGGGATCATGACCTGAGCCGAAGGCAGAGGCTTTAACCCGATGAGCCACCCAGGCGCCCCTTCACACAAAAATCTTAACCTAACTTTCATAGCCTGATGATCATAAAAATTCTTGGAAGGATCTTCTCAGCACAATTTCAACATCTGTTCTCAGAGCTAATGTCACTGTCTGCTTCTAAGTTTTATCTTTTACTTGAACCCTCTGAAACTATGGGAATAGGATAAACATTACTGATAATTTACTTTCCAGATATGATTTTAACCTTAAGGAAGAGGAAGAACAAGTAAATCACATATAGCTTTAAGACAGCACACCACGGGTGTCGGGAACTGTACTAAGCCAACTTTACATAACTTATTAAAAACAACCCACAGCAGACAGTCTCTCCTCTGCTGTCTTGCCCATCACTCCCTTATGGTTATTCAATAAACTTTTTTCTCCTTTAAAAGACAAACAAATAAAGAAACAAACAGCACTTGAAAGAAGTATGTGGTAGTATTTCCATTTTACAACAAAGTAATTAAGATACTGAGAAGAGAGCAACTGGTAAGTGGCTGAAGTTAAGAGCTGAAACCACGTTGGTCTGGCTCCAATGCTTTTCCTATCACCCCACACTGCTTTTTAAGAAAACGAGCCTTGGAGAACTAGCTCACATGAATTTTCCATATTTTATCGGATTTCGGATTTCGAGAAGTTTCGGCTACATAAAATTCTACCTACAGGGAAGCATCTTTCTTTCTTTCTTTCTTTTTTTTTTTTTAAAGATTTTATTTATTTGACAGACAGAGATCACAAGTAGGCAGAGAGGCAGGCAGAGAGAGAGGGGGGAAGCAGGCTCCCCGCTGAGCAGAGAGCCCAATGAAGGGCTCAATCCCAGGACCCTGAGATCATGACCTCAGCTGAAGGCAGAGGCTTAACCCACCAAGCCACCCAGGCGCCCCTTTATTTTTCTTTCTACTTAGTAGCTGGAAACTGCCTTGAAAGTCACATCTATTCAAAACAGACCAGTTGCCCAGAATTGGGCATAGAGAGAGTGTTTCTTCAATAGCCTCTTTAGAAAGCTCTTATGAAATGCAAAAATTATATAAACAGGTTAGGAACTGAATTTCCTGATTTAGACTACTTTTAAAGAACTTAACTTCCTGGGTAGGTTCCACTGTCAGTATTCTTCTGAAAATATCTGGTCGAGAATTTATCCTCTTCATTTTTTTTGTTTTGTTTTGTTTTTTGTATTGGAACTCCCCATTTTCTAAAGTTTAAAGCCCTACTAGTTACTACTTGACTTAAATGTTACTTTATTTATTTATTTATTTTTAAAAGATTTTATTTATTTATTTGACAGAGAGAGATCACAAGTAGGCAGAGAGGCAGGCAGAGAGAGAGAGAGGGGGGAGCAGGCTCCCCGCTGAGCAGAGAGACCGATGCAGGACTCGATCCCAGGACCCTGAGATCATGACCTGAGCCGAAGGCAGCAGCTTAACCCACTGAGCCACCCAGGTGCCCCTTAAATGTTACTTTAAATGTTAAGTTACTACTTGACTTAAATGTTGTTACAGAAGGTAATAAGGCTTTTAGGCCTTACCTCTTTAAAGTTGGCCCTTCAGAAAAGTCATTATAAATTAAAGGGAAAGAAGAAACATTTAAAGAAAAAGAACAGAATAGAAAAATTTGAATGAATTCATTGATCTATGAGAAGAGGTTAGGAGTGTATCCTTAAGTAGAAGAAATATCTATAAACCAAGTAGAATGAAAACAGAATTGAGTTATTATTGGAGAAATAGAAATTAAAGTTATTTTGTGCAGAAAAGCTGTATAGCATTAAAAAATTTCAAATCATGATCAAACCCAGAAGAAATGGCTACTTCGGGTAACCACAGCATGCCAGTAAGATGAGTATGGTTCATTTAGATCAGGTACATACCAGCTCAGGATGGTTTGGAAGGCCACATTTTTTGCATGGTTCATCATCATCAGCTAGGATGGCTTCTTCGCTTTCCTTTTCTTCCTCTTCCTCTGAAGCTGCAGATGATTTTTCACTGTCTGACCCTTCACTTTCGTCATTGCTAGAGTATTTCCACCTGCCACGTGTTCGAGAACCAGTCCATCGAACTTTGCCTTTGGGTTTTACCTTGTAAAAAATTAAAAATTGGAATAATTTGGTATAATAAGGACAATAAAAAACAAGCTTCTCATTATATACCCATTTTTAGTCAAAATACAAGAAGAAAATGAAAATTATTGTACTTTCACCACAGATATATCTACTATTAAATTTTGCTATATATTTCCAGTATTCTACTTTTGTTGGGGAGAGTTTATAATGAACATTCTATCTTATAAGTATTTTCCTTAGTCATAAAATATATTATTAACATCACTGTAAATGACTGTATAACATGCCATCACACAGCTGTATTTGTCTAATCCTTTACTATGTAGACATTTAGGTAGTTTCCCAGTTTTTCACTTTCATAAAATATGGCTCCTCATAAATATAAACTTTTATAAATCTCTGTGGTTAGGATAAATTCCTTGAAGAGGATTCTGGGTCAAAGGCCACGCACATTTTAAAGGCTCTCTAATAGAGCACTGACTATATTCTCACCTACTGTTATATAAAAGTTTAAATTCCCTTATTAGAGATGAATTTAACATTTTTTAAAATATTTTATTTATTTGAGAGAGACAGAGAGAGAGAGCATGAAGGAGAGAGGTCAGCAGAAGAAGCAGACACCCCGCCGAGCAGGGAGCCCAACGTGGGACTCGATCCTGACACTCCAGGATCATGACCCGAGCCGAAGGCAGTTGCTCAACCAACTGAGCCACCCAGGTGTCCCTGAATTTAAAATTTTTAAGGGTCAGAACTTCAAATAAAAATCCTGACAAATATTAAAATCTATTATTCAGAAAATAAGTTTATAATGTTGTAAACTGTTTTTTACTACCTGGTTTCAGTCTTTTAATTAATATTTCACTTTATTCCTACAGTAAAGTCCCCATCAAAGACCAAAATAATTCTAACAACAGAAGGGGAAATATTTTTAAAGAATTAAAAATCTAATTTCAGGGAACAAAGGATCACTTAAATTAAAAGTAGCACTTTTAATTATAACAAACTCCTATGAACTAGCTATAGATTTGTACTAGATTTTGCTTAGAAGAGTCATAGAAAAAAGAACTCTGGTTTCTAAGACTAATGATTAAATGGGGGAAGACAGACACTCTCGTACATAGTAATGTGAGAGTATATTAATGGGGCCTTTTGGGCAGGGCAATGTGGCAACAGCTATCGAAAGTTAAAATAAACACATGCCCCTTGACCCAGCAATGCCAATTCTAGGAGTCTATTCTAAAGAAATACTCACTTATGTCCAAAAGGATCTTCAATGCAGCATTGCCTGTAATAGTGAAAAATTGGAAACAACCTAAATGTCAATCAATAAGGGAGTGATTAAATAAACTGAGGTACATCCATACTATGGAATACTATGTAGCCATCAATCACCAAAAGGTAGACTACATCTACTGACATGGAAAGAGTTCAGAGACACATTGGTAAGTGAAAAATCCATAGAAAAAATGAACATATTCAATCTATTTTTTAAGTGAATGGGTAAATATTTATGAACATACACATGAATGTATGGAAAAAGAATGGGGAAGAGATGTATCCCAACTGTTAACAGTGTTTATGCAGCATTTTGATTTTTCAATCCTACAGGTTAAATATTACCTGCATAGCTTTTTTTTATAAAGAGAATATATATTTCCACATTGCCTGTAATAGAAAAAAAGTTTAAAAGATGACAAGATTATACAGTCTGAAATTTAATATCTGGGGCTAACTAGTGAGAAAGACATCTCAGATACAGGAAGAAAGATACCTTTTTTTTTTTTAAAGTGCTCTTTATAACTTCTTTTTGGCCAAAATGAAGAGCTACACTTAGGCCAAATTATTTCTAATAAAAATTAAAACTCAGAATAGGAGAAATTTTACCTTGCTTACTTTAGAATTCGTATCCTTCTCCGGTTTTTTCAAGTTTTCTTTTTTGTCTGCTTTCTGCAAAGCTGCTGACTCTTCATCCACTTCATCTTCTCCTTCCCCTCTTTTTTTATCAGCCTTCTGGTCTCTGATCTCAGCCACTTTTGCTGTGGGTCTAGATATTCTTGGAGACCTCCTTAAAGTTCGACCTACATTTGTTTTCTCTTCTTCCTTTTCTGTCTTCTCTTGCTTGGTTTCTGGTTCTAGAACTTGGGGAGGGGAATCTGGCTTCTTCTTCCTACTGGATATCCTAATTGTTAATTTGATGCCCTCTTTCTGCCTTTCAGAGGTTATCTCTGTGTTTTCTGAGGCAGCGGTTTCTTCTTCAGGAACCAGCTTATATTTAAATTTGCTTTTTTGCATAGAACCCTTTGTCTCAGAAGGATCCTCTGTGCCCGAGGTCTGGGCATTGCCCAGATGATCTGTTTCTACCTTGGTGGATTCAGAATCTTTTTTTAGAATTTCTGGGTCTGATTTTTCTAGGGGCTGACCTTCAGCAGAATTTGTGCTCTGACATTTCACCACTTCCTTTTCGGAGGCTAACTTCTCACAGTGGTCAGTCATGTTAGATGGTGCCGAAGTTTCAGCTGCCTCAGGAGAGACTGGCTTTACTGAATCTAGAGTATGCTTTGGAACCTCCTCTGGTATTGGACTCAATCTTTGTGTGTCCTTATCAAGAGAAGTCTTTTTGGACTTCTCTAACTTTTCAAGACATTCTAGAACTTGTGGGCGCTTATCTTTTTTACTTTGGGGAGACTTCTCGTCAACTTTCAGAGTACAAGATTCAGGAGCAGATAATGCAGTTTTCAAAGAGAGATCCTTGGCCATCTCAGGAGTCTCAAGAGAGATTTCCATTTCCGCAGGACCAGTTTCCTCCAATTGCCCTTTTTGATTTTGGGATTCTAAGACTGATATTGAACTGTCTGCATCTTTCTCTACAGGGACCACCTCCTTCTCAAGATCACCTGTTTTCATATTTGGTAGGACAGAATTTAAGGACTCTGCTCCATTTCCCTCAACAATGACACTTCTGTCTTTAGAGGGGCTACAGCTATCTTCTTTTGTATCATAAAATCTTGTCTCCATTTGTTCTGTCTTAAAATATGGAGTTACCTTTTCATCACTAAGTTCTCCATTTACCAGTTGTTTCCCTTCATGACCCAAAATAGTGATTGTAGAGATCCTTTTACAAGTCTCTTCCTCTTGTTTTATTTCATCCTTCAAAAACTCTTTTGTTGGAGTAACTGATTTACACAAAGGTCCTTTGATTGGACTGTCAAAATCATCACTCAGTTTAATTTCTCGTTTTTTCAGTGGTATCTTAGCCTGCTGGTCATTTTTAAGTTTCTCGGTTTCTTCAGTAGACTTCTCAGTGATTTCTTGAGAAGACCTAACATTGCCACCAAACTCTAGCCTCTCTGGCTCTAGTTTCTCCATGCTACCTTTGATATCTTTAGGATCTGCTCTAAATTCCTTTACTTCAACTTTAGTGGGTTTGACATTTTCCTTGAAGGAATCACTTTCTTCTTTGATAATCCTTTTTTCCTCACTTTCTGGCAAAGGTTTTTCTAGCTTGACTATGACCGGCAGTTTGACAAGTTCCTTTTCATCTTCTTTTTCTATTTTCACAGTAGCCTCTTCTAGAGCACTGGGTATAGAACAGTTTTCTGAATCTACTGGCTGCTCTTCATTTTTCATCTTTTCATTTTCCTTCTGTTCCTCTAAAAATCAGAAAAAAATTTACATAAATTGAATCACTCAAGATTATAAAATATAAAAAGGTAAATGTAATAGATATTCCCATTTGAAATTTCCCTCTTAAAAGAAGTCTCCTGTTAATGGACATCTGACCAAAAAAGAAACATAAAGCAAAAAACAAAATACCCCAAATCTGACAGTGAAGGAAATTACCAAACCTGAAGCAAAGCTTCTAAATATTAAAAAAAAACGCTTATTCAGAAAGATTCATGTTTCTGCTTTATACTTTTAGCTTCAGTGTTCTCAATGGAATGCAAATGTTTATACAGTTCAAATAATTTATTCAAGCTCCAGTGATGGCTCAAAAATGTGAACTAAAAATACTACATAAAACATTTCCAAAAGACCATATTTGTTTTAAAAACTGACAAATGTTCTTTCTCGTAAGTCACTGAGTGCTTCATTTCATTGAGGTAACGTGAGCATGGCAGTGGAAAAATGTTTGTTTTATGCTTTACACAGATTATAAAAGTAACATAATTCTATACAGAGAATTCTATACAACAAATGAGACATCTGCCCACAAAGAGAGTAAAAGGTCCATAATCCTAATGCCCAGAGGCAACCACTATTACTATTTTAGGTTACTTTGTTCTAGTCTTGTATATTTTTGACAAAGTTTCAGGATCACGGTACCCCATTTTTTCACTGAAACACTATCACTTTCTTATGATATTTAATGCCTATAAGATATCAGACTTATATAGCAATCCTCAATGTGGCTATATTACAATTTACTTTATCAAATGTCATTAGTGAACATTTCAGAAGTTATTATGTTACCAACTATATATGTTTATCGTCAGTTCCTCTTTTTACCTTAATTGGCTACATATTTCCAACTTTTGTGGAGTACCTAATAGTGCAAAAAACATTGGTAAATAGCATCATCTTTGTGAATTTCTTTTGCATTTAAAAAAATAAATTGTTTCATTTTAAGTAGGCTCCATGCTCAGCGTGGAGCCCAATGTGGGGCCTGAACTCACAATCCTGAGATCAAGACCCGAACTGAGATGGAGAGTTGCATGTCTAACCAACCGAGCCACTTAGGTGTCCCAAGAGCATTTCTTTGAATGGGATTACACAGATTGCACAGACAATGTAAACCAGTGCTCAGAGAATCTGAGCAGAATGTTTTCACAGAATTCATTAAATACTAAATTTACCTCTATTTCCCATCACTTCACCCTATTCTAACAACTGAAAAAACTCAGCTCTAAATGTTGTTTTACCAAAGTAGTAATTTTTACAAAAAATTTTGCACACATTATGCCAAATTGATAAACCAGAGTTACAATGTATTTTGGAGGTACAAAACGGAGTCAAATCAAAGGGAGATGAACTAGAACATGTTTTTGAAAGTAAGAATGCAGTATCTTTAACAGAGTATTTAAATTACAAATCACTACTTCTTTTACTTAAGTCATGTTGCGAATACACCGTCCAAGGACCACTAAACACCATTCAGAACCTGAAACAAAGGTCAGTATGGCTTTTCCCTCTTTACATTGTCAATGATTTCATATATGCATGCCAAAAGGAAATTAAAGACATGACAGTAATGATTTAATCTGTGTGCCTTTTGCTATCCACTGAAAAAGCAGCCTTAGTAAATTCCTGATTATTGAGACTGGTTAGCATATCAGGAAATCTAATTAAATGAACATCTTGGTTAAGAAAAAGTAACTTTAACCTAATACTAAGGGTTTACTAAACACAATTTAATAATTCTTCTATATGTTTTGGTTCAGAAAACAACTCAGGACCTCACTATGGTTCTGACCTGAGGTAAGACGACACTGTTTTCATTTGGCAATGGTGAATGAGAAAGATCTCTTCAGTGATTTGAACTGATTCCAATTTGGTAACAACATGGCAAAATAAAATTGAGGAATAACATTAGGTTCAAGGCTCCTAGGTTCATGAATCCTAATTCACCTAGTGGGGAATTCAGCATATATATCAAACTCTCTGATCCTCACTTCTTCAACTACAAATAAAGCAGCTGGAGTAAGGAACTGAAAATTATATGTCACTGGCCTATATTTCTCCTAACCCCAAAATGTTAAATCCTTGGGATTTTTGTGTTTGGCTCAATTCCCTTCAGATGTGAGAACATTTATTTCTCTAGCTCCACTAGCTTACATAGATATGTCGCTAAAACCGCAAAGAAAACAAAACCATGACAGAAAATGAGCCTTCAAGCACAACCATAACTGGTAAAAAGATCATTCAGGTACATAAGCATCCTTAAAAACAAACTGTAAAAGAAATGCAAATGAGTTAAAGAGACGTAAAATTTGAAGAAACAAAACTTAAGGTAAAAAACTCTCTTCAGGGGCGCCTGGGTGGCTCAGTGGGTTAAGCCTCTGCCTTCAGCTCAGGTCATGGTCTCAGGGTCCTGGGATCGAGCCCCGCATCAGGCTCTCTGCTCAGCGGGGAGCCTGCTTCCCTTCCTCTCTCTCTCTGCCTGCCTCTCTGCCTACTTGTGATCTCTCTCTGTCAAATAAATAAATAAAATCTTTAAAAAAAAAAAAAAAACTCTCTTCAAAACTTACAATGGAGCAGCAACACTGCTTGGCAAACTTGAGGCAATTCAAGAGAAGTATTATCTACAGTAGGTTTTTAAAGCAGATTCATCCATTTATGCAACAAATATTTACAAATCACCTATTATGGGCTTTCCCAACCAGCCCAACCATAATCACTATGGAATAAAACAGTGGACGTCCTATAAAAGTTAACTGTAAAAGACACTGCTAGGCATCTGTCCAGTACAGACATACCTCTTTTTATTGGCCTTCACTTTATAGTGCTTGCAGATACTGCATTTTGTTCAAACTGAAAGTTTTTGGCAACCTCGCATCCAGCAAGTCTTTTGGCACCATTTTTCTATAATCATTTGCTCACTTCACGTCAGTCACATTTTGGTAATTTTCACAATATTTCAAGCTTTTTCATTTGTTATCGTGATCTGTGATCAGTGATCATTTGTTGTTACTATTACAATTGCTTTGGGGCTCCACGAACCACATCCTTTTAAAACGGTCAACTTAGTTGATAAGTGTGTATGTTCTGACTGCTCCACCAACTGACCATCCATCCCCCAATCTCTCCTTCTCCTTGGACCTTCCTATTCCCGGAGACACAACAATACCTAAATCAGTCCAGCTAATAACCTTACAACAGCCATTAAGTACTCCAGCAAAAGGAAAAGTCATACATCTCTAAAATTAAATCAAAAGTTAGAAATGATTAAGCTTAGTAGGGCATGTCAAAAGCCCAAACAGGTGAACAATCAGGCCCCTTACACCAAATAGTTGGCCAATTTGTGAATTCCAAAGAAAAGTATTTGAAAGAAATTTAAAAAGTGCCAATCCAAGGGCGCCTGGGTGGCTCAGTGGGTTAAGCCTCTGCCTTCGACTCAGGTCATGATCTCGGGGTTCTGGGATCGAGTCCCGCATCGGGCTCTCTGCTCAGCAGGGAGCCTGCTTCCCCCCTCTTTCTCTGCCTGCCTCTCTGCCTACTTGTGACTTCTCTATGTCAATAAATAAATAAAATCTTAAAAAAAAAGTGCCAATCCAGTACGCATGAATGATTTAAAAAAAAAAAAAAAAGAACAGTCTCATTGCTGATATGTAGAAAGTTTTAATGGTGTAGATAGAAGTTGGAAACCAGCCACAATATTCCCTTAACCCGAAGCCTAATCCATAGCAAGGCCCTAACCTTGCTTCCATTCCATAAAGGGTGAGAGAGAGTAAAGCGCAGAAGAAAACCTTAGAGCTAACAGAGGCTGGTTTCTGGGGGTTTAAAGAAAGCAGCTATGGAGCATAACACAGAAGTGCAAGGCGAAGCCACGAGTGCTGATGCAGAAGCTGGAGCAAGTTATCCAGAAGACACTGCTAGACAATTCATGAAGGTGGCTACGCCAAACAACAGATTTTCAATGCAGATCAAACAGACCTTCTAATGGAAAAAAACACTATCCAGGACTTCCACAGCTGGAAAGAAGTCAATGACAGGTTTCAAAGCTTCAAAGGACAGGCTGACTCTCGGTAGGGGTTAATATAGCTGATAACTTGAAGCTGAAGTCAATGCTCATCCACCATTCTGAGAATCCTAAGGCACTTAAGAATTATGCTAAATCTACTGTGCCTATGCTCCGAAAGTGGAACAACAAAGCCTGGAAGACGGAAGGTCTATTTACATCAGGGCTTCCTGAATATTTTAAGCCCATTATTGAGACCAACTACTCATAAGAAAAGATTCCTTTCAAAATACTGCTACTTGTGACAATGTACCTGGTCACTCCAGAGCTCTGATGGGAGATGGACAACGAGATGGATGTTGTTTTCATGCTTGTTTATACAACATCCATTCTGTAGCCCATGGATCAAGGCGTCATTTCCAGTTTCAAGTCATTATTTAAGAAAAACATTTCAGAAGGCTATAGCTGCCATAGACACTGTTTGCTCTGATGGATGTAACCAAAGAAAACTGAAAACCTTCTGAGAAGGATTTACTATTCTAGATGCCATGAAGAACATCTATGACTCACAGGAAAAAGTCAAAATATCAACAAGAACAGCAGTGTGGAAGAAGCTGATCCCAGGCCTCAGGGATGATCTCATGGGGTTTAAGACTTCAGGGCAGGCGACAACTGCAGATGTGGCGGAAACAGCACGAGAACTAGAATTACAAGTGGAGCCTGAAGACAGGACTGAACTACTGTAATCTCATGATAAAACTTGAACAGATGAGGAGTGGCTTCTTATGGATGAGCAAAGAATGTGGTTTCTTGAGAAGGATTCTACTCCTGGTGAAGATGCTGTGAAGATGATTGAAATGACACAAAGGTTTTAGAATATGACATAAACTTAGTTGATAAAGCAGTGGTAGGGTTTAAGACGATTGATTCCAATTTTGTGAAAGAGGTTCTACTGACAGTAAAATGCTATCAAAG